AATGGCCAAGATGGCATATATATATCTGTAGTAATTGAGTGGAATTTATTTAAATACCCCAAAACAATCAACCAATTTACGCGACAGTCCAACCAAACCTGCCGCACATAAATTAAATCTACGCGATGTGCAGTAGCCTCTGGACCCCTTCTATATGTACTACACATACACAAATTAAAGAAGACCAACAACTCCCTTTATCTTGACTTCTCTCATCATAAAAAAGAGGAAAGCAGCCAAGGACGAAGAAGAAGAAGAAGAAGATTTGAGTTCAGCCAGAGAAGCGGCCATGAAAGCTGTGGCCACCGTGAAGCTAACGGCTACAGAAACCTTGGGCTGCTTCGACCTCTCGAGCCTGGTCGATGGCATCGGTGATCTGGTTCGCGGAAATCTGTATTTGGAGTTCGTAAGCACCGAGCTTGATCATGGTATGTCAAAATTTCATATTACGATCTTAATAACCTGTAGGAGAGCGAATATTACGTGTGGTATCTGCTCAAGATGATTAAGATGATTGATTGTTTTATAATGAATGCAATCACAATATCATTATAATATCATTGAACTCAGTATCATTCGCTCCGCACGTAATATTTTCTCGTATGTTTAATTTCAGGGAGCTTATAGATCTAAGCTACGAGTTGCCTTTTAGGACTTGCGCGCCCTTTGAAAAGATGCAATGCAATTATGTGTTTCTAGATAAATAGAAAAAATGCTACATGAGCTCATTAATTAGGCTTAATTATTGTATAATAATTATAAGTATTTATTTTAATACTGTAAAAAGAAGAAGGCTAATGTTATATTGTATTTCTCGTCAAATGATTTGCAATTTTCTCATTGTTGTGCTTAATTATGATAAAATACATCAGAATCTCTTAAACTTTTCTCCACACATATATATATGACGTGAGCTAAAGTTGAGATGTATTATTCATTAGGCGGGGACGCTAATTAATTAGCATGATAATGATATCCTAATGTGAATGGCTTACCCAAACATTTTGGTCATAAGACGGGATTAGCCACACATTAAGCTACATTTGGCTTAAAATGTTTCTGGAGTCAAATTTGACGAACAAAACTTCTAAATTCTAAGCTGGCAATGACTTGACTTGTCAGCTGGCAAATAAAACTTGCTTGAACAATTAATTTACAATATATATAAATTAAAATGTTTATAAGATCGTAATTTTTTGGAAATATATCAACTTGAGTCATTCCATACCTCATATCTATCTATCTTGATATATATAAATAAATGAATATATATATATATATATATATATA